TGTTGTACGCCGCGCGCGACGTCTAGAGCGCGTCGACGGCCCGCGCGCGCGTCGTCACTGGCCCCTTTAAAATGGCGCTGCACAGGCTTAGTTCAACATGATCAAAACACTGCTTGGACTCAGCGTTTTTAGCCAAACTCAGGTTGCTGTGTTTGGCAACCCAGTGCCTTCTTATGTGGAGGAAATTCAAGTTCAATACACAACTTGCCAGCCTGGCACCCAGTTCTGCATCGCTCGAGGCGGCGCATTCTTTCGGCACTTGAACTGGACTTCGCTTATGCTCGCAATAAGCGCGCAGAATAATTTCTAGAAATGCAACTTGGAAACGATCTGGCTTGGTCTCGTCACCTGATTCTCGCCGGCGGCGCCTGCGTGTCCGCCTGGTCGTCCGTCCAAATGGCCACCGCACTCTCGACCTTCGAGGCTGAGCTTTATGCACTTGTCCTGACCGTCCGCGTCCTCATTGCTATGCGACAGCTCGCAGAGTTCCTGCTCGGCCGAGCCCTGCGCCCCTCCTTCATCTACTGCGACAACCAGAGCGCGATCATATTTCTCCGGCGCCGCGACCTCTCCGCGCGGGCCAGACACATCCGGGTCCACCTCGGGTTCGTCTACGACGCCATCGACTCGGGCTGCTTCCACTTTCGCTACGTCCGGTCCAAGCAGAACCCCGCGAATTCCCTCACGGCTGCTGAGGACGAGGAACGCTTCTACCGCTCCGTCATGGCATTCAGCGGCGCTGATGTGCGCACAGGCGCCTGAGGCGCCGGCCCATCCTCGTGCCCGCGTCTCCGGCCTTGGCCTCGCCACCCCGGACCCCGGGGAAGCGGCGAGCTGGGAGAGGACCACCACAACCAGCAGTTTTATTTAGCTGGATGATGATAGGTGGTCTAAACTCACTAACCCGTTACCGGAAACATATTGTACTGCCGTAAATGCAATTTCCGTCCACTTGGCCGCCTTTCGTATCTCCCACTAGCCTGAGCTAAAATGCAATTTTATGTTAGGGCGCGAGCACGTCGCGACCGCGCTCCTGGGGCGCTTCGGCGCACTCCGGGGCGGCGGCGTCGTCGATGGGGCGCCGAAGTACGCGGGGTGCCCGATGGATATCAGGTCACCGTCCAGCACGCCCAATGCCGCGAGCGGCTTAGCTCACAGGGTCCTCCGGGGCGAATAGGCCGCCGATGCAGGCCTCGACGTCCGGCGGAAGCATCCAGGGCAGGTGGATGGGCGGGTACTCCACGCCGACGCGCGTGGGCCAGCCCGAGCGGGCGTGCGGCGCTCCGGCCGGCCACGCGCGCGAGCCGGCGCACGCGAGGACGCGGACGTCCACGCTCCAACCGGGGAGGAACGCCCGCCACCAGGGCGAGTAGTGCCGAACGGGCAGTCGGTGGTCGTCCACGAGGTAGAAGCGCGTACCCGGCGCAAGGAAGAGCGCGTTGAAGGCCGCCGCGCCAATGGGCGTGGCGACCGCGGCCGCGCCGCGAAAGAGCTCGACGCGGGCCGCGAGGCTGAGAGGCGCGACGTCAACGACCTCGAAGCCGCGCCGCTCAAACACTGCCGTCAGCGCATCCTCGTTCAGCAACGTGCG